GACTTTACTATTAATAGAAGCCATATGAATAACAACTTATGGAATTCTTTTTCGGGACTTTCCTCTAAAATTTTGCTTTATGTTTATTACTGTGACGACAACCACCTACTTGAGAATGTAAGAACGAACAAAACTAAGAGCAACATGCTAGCTGAGGGTAGATGTGTTCCAGTCTTCTGTCCAGTCGTATTTCACCCACATCCTCCTATGATTGTTCTATTTGAAGCTAGATTTCTTTACATTAGCTCATCGTTGATATGATTTTCTCTCGACTAACATTTCACTTGTTTCTCAACTCATATTAATGCTGCTTGAAATTTAAGCGTGTGTGAGAGTAGATGTTGCTATTCTTTTTGCTTAGACCTACAATTACACCTCATATTTTGCTTCGACAAAGGAACACTCGCAATCCATGGTACACAAGCCTGTCGTAACCGAATGTAAATCGTCGTATATTGAAGTATTACATGGCCTAGTATTGCTATCATACATTACCGTGTTGCATACGAAGAAATACGAAATGTGTACGGATGTCTACGGGCGTAGACGAACTCCATATTCATCGAGCTGTAAATAAATGATTTCACTCTTGATGTGTTATATTTTGAATCATCTTCAAGAACTAAACATCGTTCAAAAAAAACTAATCTTAATAATTGATAATTAAAGAAATCAGACTGTCGCATATTGTCTCCTATTTTCAAAGTATACTTTCATTCAATGGCAAGAACAATCTATTAAAAGAATACAATGAAAATAGCAATATCATAACATACATGAACTACCAGCAGGATACTATACACACATGCTTATATATGAAAGAATACAAGTATATAATCGATTGAAGGATATTTTGAAAGTCATGAAATATTCACTCGTACATCTTGTTTGAAGCTAACAAATTTTAGAAAATTGTTTTGGTTTTTATTTTCTTTCTTTTTTGATACCTCAAATCAAAAATATCATTTACAGACACTCGCGTGATTTCGAATGGGTTTCTTTTTTCTTGAAAATTGCCAATCTCCACAAACAAGTAAGAGATGTGTGAAAAGAGATATCGAGTCGAGTGAAACCATGTATTCATGATAGTTTTAACTTTTCTTTCATATACATCGAGTTCTGTTTCTATAAAAAAAACAAGCAGTTATGACATTTTGCCTTCTCTCTCCTGACTTTGTTCCTTCGCTTGCTATCAATTAATAGGAAAGTTCACGAACCAATAGGAAACAGTAATACAAAGAGGCACTATACGTTGAATTCGCCGCTGTCGGTCCATTATTTCAGTGTTTCGCTTCTTTCTGTAGGTACGAATCTTGTCGTAGCATAGTTATGCTTGTTGCATTTTTGATTTTGAAAATATGAAAGAAAGCATGGATCAACGTCCATCAAAACTACTGAAAAGAACTTGTGCACAAAGTAAAACGATTCTGTTTTTGGTTTGTTTTAATATTAAGTTTTGAATTTGAATTTCTTCAATAAAGATCATTGTACCACATGTTAAAGTCTATCAGGCGAATTGATTCTCGGTCTTTTCGAATATTTCAATACGAAAGAAGTTTTCTAATCTCACTTCACTCATTACGTCATGTATCTTTGATAAACGTCAGTAACTTCATCTGCATCTTGATCTTCAAATGTCTTTTCTTCCAATAAACTATCTTCCCACTCAAATCATCTCACTGCGTATCGAAGACATCACTGTTTCAATTGGCATGTTCTTCAATTTTAAATTACTTTGGATCGTTCATAGCTATGAATGGGAACAAGAATGCCTCCATATGGTCAAACAGGTTAGACAAAATATCAATAAATAGTGGTAAAGTTATAAGAATCAAATTAAAAAAATTGAACTGAATAATATAAAGCTCGTTTACACCCATATAATGTTATATTGAGTACAGCAGAGCTATAATCCGTCCAAACCGGCCGTTTTTTACCAGTTGAAAAAAATTATTTAGGTATTGCTTTCTTATGTTCGTCGAAATTGTTTTATTTTTTTAAAAAGCACAATCAAAACTATGCTACTGGAGGCCAATCTTATTTCATACATGTTTTGTTAAATATCAAATTTAGGTTTGAATCATCTTTCGAAGAGAAAAGTTAGATGTTTCTGTTAAGATTGAATGGAAAGATTCAACATTTGGAGCTTGATGATCACTCGATGCAAAAAGGAGTTGTTTAATCACTCCATATTTGAAAAATCGTCTAAACTACTTTTGAACTAATTGGAAAATTCTCGACCGCTTACAACCTTGAGTTGGTCACAATTTTTGTTATTGTAAGTGGCATAGACGCATGAAGAATAAGACTCTTTGCAATATAAGTATGCCAGAGAACACAGGTGTCAACACCGCTGAGTATTCAGAACGAAATTTTGTCTCCTGAATCAACTGGGTGTAGGTGTGGGTATGGGTGGGTATGGGTGTGGGTGAGCATGTGGGTCTTGTTGTCGACGTGATGTGTGAGTATTGATGCTCTAGTATTGTTCATCCACACCCACAGCTACAGCCACAGCCACAGCCACATCCACCCACACCCACACTCACACTCTCAATGAACCATTTCAGAGTGTAATTCTGTCCACTAGATGTGTTTTTCAGTTATTTTGTTCTCTATTTATTGGATTTTTTTTACAGATGCTGTGCAGGTTATATTTTGAAAAAAATTCAAGTGCAACCTTCGAGAACTAAGAGATATATTCACCAAATACTTCAAGTGTAATTCATTATGTGCTACCGCTAATATGACTTTGGAAACGAGTAGAAAATTAGTTTATTGCTGCTATAATAACAATTCTCGAAACGTTTTTTTCATTGAAATATTTATGTCTGATGTCCTCAGGAATGAGACCCGAACTGATTGCATCCTAATGCCATTTAGACAATATAAACAAACCTGGAAAATTATTAAAAATTGCCAGAACGCAGAACATTAGATATCAAGAAAGTACAACTAAGTTCCTCAAGTGAGCTGTTTCTTCGCCTGTTTTCTGCATTTCATCACGAATGAATGTTGCAAAGGAAATATCTTGCGATTGTTCCACACAATATCTATCGAACAATCCAAGTCTTTTATGCTGTTTCCGAATATTACATTGGTTTTGTCCAATTAGACCCTTCTTCCCCTCCAAATCTTCTAAATAATAATTCAAAATATCCCTAATTAGAGACCCGAGAAAAGCGCCACAAAAAACCACGAAATTATATCTCTATTTCACCTTTAGAAAGTATATCGCGTCAACCCTTGCAAAGTTCTGCCGTATAAGTAACACGAAAATAAATGTCCATTACAGCTTTGATCACGAAAATTCGTCACACATATTGAAAAAAATCTCAAATTAGCAAAAAAATCATAGCCGATGAATAGTTTGTATTACCATTCACCATGTGGCAAAACTTTTCAAGCTTCAGAAGAAGATCATGTTGTAGCATTTGAAAAGTGCTACCGAATGGATAATACGAGTAAAAATGTTCATTTCAATTATGAGAACAAAATTCTTTCGCAAAGTATAGAAAACATGAATTTTGAACCAAAAGTGGTGTATCATGAATAGTTTGGTACAGGACATCAAATGCGGCCAAACTTTTTCAATTATCCGACGTATATAGTTTTGTAGCTTTTGAAAAGCGCTATCGATTGGTTAATACCAGAAAAAATGTTCATTTTAATTATGAGTACAAAATTCGTTCGCAAAGATAAGAAGTCATCCAATTGATCATAGCAAAATAGAAGTTTTTGGTTATGTGGTGGATGTCATATAAAGTCATTAGAAATCCTCGACAATTCGGCATCAAAATGATGATCTCGACAAGTACGTTCATCCCTCAAGCGGTTTGACTTGATTGGAAGATAAAAATCTAATGGGCCGATTTGTGGTCTTATCCGCCCCCCATCCTTTGAACGCTACTAAATGATCATTTCATGATTATAGTCAATCTTCGCGTAAACACAAGATGGCGCTTCATATGAAATCCTTGTTACAGATTTTTGCTTGTTTAAGTGCTACTTGATATATCTTTAAAATGTCTGTCTCAAAGAATTGTTCAGAATGAAACGAAAAACTCTCAATTCTTTATAGATCAAAAGCATTCCAAAATGATGCATTTTAAACTAGGTTTTATGAATCTTTCAATTTAGCATAAACTTGCCAAAATTCTCTTCTACAGTTGAATAATAATTATCAAACGCAATAAGTAATAAATTCATGACTCTTTCCATTAGCATGTTACAATTGTTAGTTTCCTCAGCTTATTAAATAGATATTTAATAGGAGCGTTGTTTAAATGATTATATACACTATTGAATAGATCAGAATTTGTTAATGAAATAAGAAAGAAATATGTTTTTTTTTCAAATATACAACTAACTTTGATGGGTTGAAAAAGAAATTAAGACCATTGAAAAGAAATAATAAGTATGTAATTGCAATCTTATCTTTGTACCAATTTCCTTGTGATATTTTTTCGTATTATTAGCTTCTTCAGCTTTGTCATCCATAATAGAGTTACTTTTTTATTTTGAACTTTTACATATAAATGTATATATATAATGACTGATCTGTTGCAAATATTGTGGAGCTAACAAACAGTAGAAATTCTTCTTGTTTCATAATGATTCTAAATTACTAAAGTATTTTCTCATAAAATTAGAAAAGAAAACATAGTCAACCTATAATTTTTAAAGCATGTTATCTTAAGCAAAAATTCTTAAAGAAAACTTCATACAGTATAATAAAATGGTTTTATGTTATAAAGGAGAACATTTCGATTGTTACACAAATAAAACTGTTATTTGAAGCAATCAATCAGGATGATAAAAGTTTTATTTTCAATGTATCATTTTTGATATAATAAAGATAGAAGCAATTCTTCTTTTTCTTATTTATTTGAATTAACTTGCGTAGTAACGTATGAAATTTTTTAATTTAATTGATATATCGAAAAAAACAAACAAACATACAAGAATACATTAAATAAAATAATATTTAACTAATCGATACATTATAGTCGAAGATCAAAATCACTTTTCGATTGTATAGATTGTTGAAGTTTATGTTTACCTTGTTTAGATAAGTGACAATTCCATATCCAAAATGTTTTTAATGATTGATTATTTGTAATCATATTAAATATATAATCAATACTTGTATCAGTGATTAATTTATTTGAATATAAACTTATTTCTTCAATTGTTTTATTATCAGATTGAATAACTTGACACAAATATTGAATAGCTTTATCAGTTATATTATTATCTTGTAATCCAAGTACAATTAAAGTTTCATTTGTTTTTAACATATCCGATAAATAAATAAGACCTTGATCAGTTATTTCATTTGAAGAAAGAACTAATTCTTTTAATGTTACATTTTTAAATGAAAGTGATTCTGATAATGATTTTATAGATTCATCAGATAAATGATTGTTCGAAATACTCAATTTTTTTAATGTAATATTCATGTTTAAGAAAGAAAATAATCTTGATATTGAATATGATGTTAAACAATTATTCCATAAAATAAGTGATTGACATTGTTTATTAATTAATGCTTTATTAATAACAATATCAATATCATGATCATTTATTTTTTGACCATTTAAATTAATAAGTTCACCTGTTTGGCATTTGTCAATCAATTCTACAAGTTGATTATTATGATAAGTAATTTGATCAGCTATGACTAAAAATAAATTTATTTATATCATTGTTCTATTATAATATTCTAAAGTATCCTATTCTAGAAGTTTTATAGTTTGATATAAAAAAAAACATATCCTATCGAATTAAAATTAGTCAATTTCCAGAAATAATTGATCAAGACTTATTTTTATTGAAAAATTTCACTTTAAAATTGCTATTTCTTAGACATGGTCAATAAGAAAATAAATTTTCAAAGTTAAGTTCATATGCAACACAATTCTTCATTGAAGTTCTGACAATAGAATGAATCTAGATATTCACTCGTAATTCTATTCATAATTGGCAAGCACTAAACCTAAACGTTCAGTGTCGAATTCAAGTTGGGTCTTAACTACGATCATTTTTAGTTAATTAATAAAATGAATTAGAAGTCAAATGGGTATATATAAACACAGTCAAATAAACGATCTCAAAATGTAAGATCTGTAGATACACTAAAAAAGTCAACAAATTTCAGAAATACTCTAACCCTAAGTTTAACCTAACTTTTTAGAGTGCTTCCATGATTACTTATATGCTTCGAAAAAACGCTTGGATAATTACCCAAATATTCGACAAAGTCTAATCTGGTAGGATAGCTTCCAAATTTGAGCTAGAGGTCGGGTTTGACGGATATATAATTAACAAATAAAGACAATACAACAAAATAAGTCATTGGCATGCTTATGTAATATTAGTTTTCTTGGTAGAAACAATAATTGGCATTCTTGAACCTACGTATTTGTTTTAGTTTCTAGTTATTAAGTCGAATTATAGTTGATTTTAGAGTTTTTACAAACAATACTATCAAAATAAAGGACTTCACAACAGATCAATCATCATTAATATCAGGTCATGAATATGAGGAAGACGAATTGTAATAAAAGATATGTATTTTTAATGTAAATTAATTGTTTTTACCATTTATTTTTTTGTCTTGTTGATGAATATCTTAAATGTCAGTCAAGAATTTCAAAAACACAAGGATCTTGTATGAAGTATTGGCAAAACGTGTTATCATCCACTATCAGCGCGAGTAACAAAAAGATCTTGCCAAGACAACAAGTCTTGCGAACCGGCATTCCACTACTACACAATATTAAACCAACATCGCAAAATTACGAAAGAAGTATGTTTTATACTGTCTATCACGACCCATGTTCACTCCATTACTACCCGTTTTTCTAATAAAAAATCGAGATCTAAGCGTTAATATATATATCATATCAGAACTATGCTTTTGTATTACTAATTTTAAAAAAACGAATATGAAAGAAGAATCTCAATTGGATATTAGTCTTATAAACACTTATTGGGGGCGAAAGCGATTGATAATGAATTGGTATAAAAAGCTATTTTTTGATATGTTTGCCATGTTGTTTTGGTATTGTGTTGTGGTGGATGTAAGTTCTCAAGATCTATCATACTATCAATACCTCTGTGGAAATCTCGTTGATAGTGGATGATAGCATGCTTTACTTATACCCTCTTCTCAATCGAGATAATATTCATTTTATCGGTCAAAGTTCGATCTACGTGAATCTTTGTCAAGTAAGAATCTTATCTGAAGTATATGGAAAAAGAATCTTAACTAATAATTAGGTCAAGAAAACCAAGGATCTACAAAGAACAGAAACACAAGTTTTAATCAGTGAAACTTTCAACAGAAGATAGGATCACAAATTGATAATTTTTCTCACTTACTTTTGTCACTTTAAATTAATGGACAGTCCTAGAAAAGATTCAAGGAGGAGGAGCTCTATCAGAAACCTTCGAACTGTCATTTCGAGATGAAAAATATTGAGTCTGTTTGTTTTACTGAGAAATATGCAAATGATTATTTTAAATTATTCGATAGCGTTAAGACCTATGTTTAGTAGTGGAGTCAGGAGATAGCAGGATGAACTTGAACCTCTCCAAGCTATGTTTCTAGCTAGCCACTAGGTTTATTTCAACACAAATAAAGGAATAATACTATTATTCAATTGGAAAACGAAATATTTGTCTTCTTTTTTTTTCAAATTTTCCTTTAGAGTAACAGTTTAAATTGATTATGTCAAACAAGACGATGTTATATAGAATACTAATGATAATTTTTCTTTGTGTTTTAATTTTCTATTTCATACAAAAACTTGTTTTTCTATTATCTTATTTTTATTTTCGATAGAAAGGTATTGAAAGAAACATTTATTTATCGAAAGACAGATTTTTCTCTCTTTCAAATAATATATAACTTACTTCTACTATATGTTCATAACGAACTGTCACAACAGAATAGAGAAGTACTTTTCATATAATGGACAGTAACGATATAAAATATCAACTTCTATATTTTTCCTTAATAAACACATGTTAGGACAATAGATTATTTTTTTAATCAATTGATAGGACAAACACCTGCACATCAAATTTGTAATTTTTATATTAATTTATAGAACAAAGACTTATAGCATATTAAACAAATATTTGAAAAAACTTTCATTGTAATGTCTGTGAAATCAAAATGTGAAACACGATTGATATGTTGTACTTATTAAGGAACACTCCATACATGCTGACTGTATTATTTTTGATGGTTAGCTAGACTAGATTATCGAAATACCTGTCAAGCTCTATGACGTTATAGGGCGCTACGCTCACTGTTTCAATTAATAATTGTTGTGGAATCAGTCAGCATAGATCATCTAAGAATTTCAATGTTATTCAATCAACAATTAATTGTAACTTATGAAGAAGAACATCAGTTCTTATCAGAATAACATTGAAATATTGCAAAGATGAATAATAAAGTTCAAGATAAAAAAGAACCGAACTAGACTGTAGGGAAAGCCAGACAAAATACTATTCATCGTAGTTATGATATTAGTTTACAGTATGAAAAATATTACACACTAACGAGGGAACATTCCCAACTGTCACGTCGCTTTTGAGTCGAGCGTATGTGCATCATGTAGGCTCTAATGATCTACGAATACTCTGAAAAACGTTCGTGCTGCTAGCTTATTACTATCGAGATATTGCATTTTTACTATATGCTTAAGCAGAAAGCCGTGGTTCCTCTCAAGAACACTAGGAAAACTGGGTTTCGAATTTCAACTTGAAACTTTGTACAGAGATAGACCTCAATGAAAATAGTTTATTCAGAAAGTTTCAGATCTTTTGATTGCTCCTAGTCTAAAATAAGAATATCGGAATCTGCTGGTGTATATCAGCGATTTTACAATAGCTGTATCTTAGGATACGAACAACGAAAAGATCTGAAACTTTCACAATAAACTATTCTCATTGAGGCCTATCTCTATGCAAAGTTTCAAGTCAAAATTCGAAATTCAGTTTTCCTTGTGTTCCTGAGGGAGACCACGGCTTTTTTTCTCAATCATATAGTAAAAATGCAATATCTCGGTAGTAATAAGCTAGCAGCACGAACTTTTTTCAGAGTATTCATAGATCATTAGAGCCTACATGATGCACATATGCTCGACTCAAAAGCAATGTGACAGTTTGGAATGTTTCCTCGTAAGTGTGAATAGTGTTATAGAGATGCAATAGTAGACTTACTATGTGACTGAATAACTGGTCGATCTAATTTCGCTTCTAGTCGTTTAATATTAATAGTAAGTTGATCAATTTTTATTTTATATTGAATAGATTGTTCAATAAGTTGTTGATTATTTGCTTCAATCTGTTCGCAGTATTGTTTTAACTGTTCAATTTGTTTTTCATATTCAATTAATCGTACTTTTAAGTGATCATTTTCTTCATTAATTAGAAAATATTGTTGATTAGCTGCTTCAATCTGTTTGCAGTATTGTTTTAACTGTTCAATTTGTTTTTCATATTCAATTAATTGTGCTTTTAAGTGATTATTTTCTTCATTAATTAGAAAATATTGTTGATTAGCTGCTTCAATCTGTTTGCAGTATTGTTTTAACTGTTCAATTTCTTTTTCATATTCAATTAATCGTACTTTTAAATGATCATTTTCTTTTTCATATTCAGTTAACCGTACTTTTAAATGATCATTTTCTTTATTATTTAGAAAATATTGTTGATTATCTGCATCAATCTGTTTACAGTATTCTTGTAAGTGTTCAAGTTCTTGTTCATAAATAACAATTGTTTCTTGTAAATATTGATTTTGTTTATCGAGAGAATCATTTTGTATTTGTTGTTGTTGATAAAGTTCATTTAAAGTTTGATTATTTATTTGAGTAAGATTCAATTGATTTAGATTTTCTTGAAAAAATTTTATTTTTGCTTGAAAATTTTCAATAACAATATTTGTTAATTGTAAAGATTTATTAAGGATTTTCAATTCAATTTCAATATCATTATTATTTATTTCATATTGATCACATTGATCTTGAATTAATTGATTTTTAGATTTTAATTCATTTATTTCATTTATGTGTTCATCAATTTTTTCATTTAAAGATTTATTTTCAATTTCAAAATTTTCCAATTTATTTAATTGTTCATTTAAATTTTTATTTTCACTTTCAAATTTTTTCATTTCATTGATTTGATTATTTAAAATTTCATTTTCATTTTCAATTTGTTGAATTCGATTTTGTTGTTCTTGATATTTATTTTCAAGACTTTGAAAATCTATTTGAAGTTGATTTAATTCATCAATACGTCGAGCATCATTAATAAGTTTAATAAGAACAGTTCGAAGTTTTTCATATGGACATTGATTGAAATGTTCATTTAATTCATCATAATGTCCATTCCATGGACATAGAATATCATTAGCTGAACAATCAACAATTCTTTTTGGACATTGTTGTTGAATATGTTCGGAAAAATTTGATCGTTGAATATTTTCTTCAGAACAAGAACAACATTTTACAAGAAGTTTACCAAGCATTTTTCGTAGAATTGGATTTTCACTTTTTAAATCATTATTTGATAAAGGTTTTTTATTACATTCTGAACAGTTATTCGAATGATTTTCAAGATTAGTTTGAATACATTTTAAACAGAATGTTTGTTCACATGGCGAAGGTAAAATAACTGGATCAATAAATGGCTTTTTACAAAGTTTACATATCAAATCAACAGGGATAGTCGATTCTTCCATATATTCGTAATTATCCATCGAAAATTATGTTGAAAAATTCTAAATTTATTAACTACATCATAGTTTTTCAATATTAAAACATAAAATATTAATCGAATTTCTATTTAAGAATCATTTTTTTACAGATTGACAAACAAAAACATTTCCCAATGAATGTTATTTTTAAAGAGCAAATCAATTTATTTCGTTTTTCACAAAAATCTTTGTTTTTCTTGAGTTTTAATCTTGAGCGTCACTCCTTTACTCATTGAATCTTTTTTTGTGGTCATTGTATAGTTTAAAGTGGTATTTATCTACTGAATAGATTTTGGGATCCAAAAGTTGTCGTTCAAGGTTAAGTAGATCGAGAAAAAAAATCAAATTTAGATAATGAAAATAGTGAAAACTGTAGATTGTTTCGTATTGTTCCCAAAATATTTTTTTCATGAGAAAAGTGCAGAAACGTTCCTGTTTCTCTGAAGTAGTACATCCGATCGAGTCGAAACTTCTTTTTTTTTACATAGATTAGACACTGTTAGGAATGAGTATTTTTTTTCTTTGAAAAATTGCTGTTTTGTTGATTGTTGGTGGCTTGTACAAGAAAACTTCAATTAAAAGAAAATGCTTCTTTTAAAGGGTTCTTCGATATTTTACCTTTTTTTTATTCGAACAACAAAAAATAAAAATAACCGAAAAACATATGTATTCCAAACGATGAAACGAAAGATTTTCAGCTCAATCTAACAAGGTATCTTGGAGCAATGGGAGCGAAACTTACAACCATTTTTTGCTATTGTGATTCCTTGAAGATTTCTAATTTTTCTGATGAACTGTTCTCCAGAAACTTTGGAACAGGAAGGGGGTTACTCTAATGAAATTTTAAATAGTATTTCAACTATATATGAATTGAACAAAGTATTTTTGTTTTGTAAAATTTAAATCGATCTTAGAAATAATCATTGATCACAAGTCAAAAATCACAATTTGCTTTTCTATTTGTCAGGTAAATAGATATTTATATGTAATCTAAACAGTATTGATCAAAAGACACAAGAACAAACATTTTTGATTTATTATTATTTTTTTCACTTTTTCTCTTCTTTCTTGAATCTATCTGTCTACTTACACATATGCACTCAAGTATGCTCTATCAGAATATCAATTGAAAATTTTTCAATTAGTTATTTATTTTGATAAAGAATTACTTGTATAAAAAAAAAAAGTGACTTTTTATCTTGGCCAAAACTATAAGAACAAATATACTGTAGCGGATCAATTCAATAGTGAGTGAAGAAATTCAAACTTAACTTGTTTTAGTATCATACAAAACGTCGACATACACACAAGTATATTGATTCAAGAAAGAAAAAAAAATAAAATATTTCAAAAAGATGCTCGTTCTTGTATTTTTTATCGACTACACAGTTGGATACTAAATTTTTCTGTGTTAACACATTTTTTTCAATAAAATATAAATTTGTAAAAAAAAAAGAAAACAAATACTTCTATTCAGAATGATTGCATGCGATTATTTCAAAGTAAATACTATATACAATTCATAGTTATATTCACGAATTGGATCAAACATTTTGGTTGAATATTTTAATATTTCAAATAAAAATCAAATTTAGTGAAGAAGATTTTAAAACATTGTTACATTCATTTCATGAATAAATTCAACAATCAAAACTTAAGTATTTTATATTTGATCATGCTTAAATTTTTCGGTCTTTTTTCTCCAATTACAATCGTATATGAATTATAGATGGATTTCACATAATTATTTCGTCCTACGTTGCTTCTAATTTTCTCAAACACTAAAGAATCGAATTTTTAATCGCATTCGTGAAGTCAGTTTCAACTATTTCATTATGTTGACAGCTATGTCAACACATTCTGAATAATTTTCATTTGACGAACTGCTCAAGTTGTCTCTTTTTTTTTTGGCAACTGCGTTGCAAATCGATTGTCATCGAATATATGGGTGATTAAATACTTAGATAATTAAATTTTGGCATTACGATTCTTTGATGAATGTTTATTTTAATAAAGGAAATCTGGAATTCTATTCTTATTTATCAATAAATTATTAGAAAATGTAAAAAATTTTATTATTTCATTGTTAAACTATTTATAAATCCTATGAAAACTTTGGATCGGAATATAGTAGTTAATAAACTTACAAAAATAAATTCTAGTTGAAATTAATAGAGTTAACAGATTGATTGAACCACTAATGACGGTGAAAGTTTGTGAAAAATATCCAACTATCGACTCCAATTGCTGCACAATTTTTAAAATTTATTACCTACCGTCTCTGAAAGGAAAAAGAAAGTAAGACTGAATTTCAGCGAATGACGGTGATTTTTGGACCAACGTGTTTTTTGTGTTGACATAAGTGTTTACCACGAGAACAAAAGTATCTGACTACATCGTAAATAAACGAAAGAAAGAAAAAACCTTTTCTTCTTTATGTGTTGCATTTAGAGGTGTCAGTCGATGAATTGATCGACGATGAGGGTAAAAAATTTTTAACTTTTTCAAATCTTAGGCAGCGTCTAATTCAAAATCTATAGTTTCTTCAGCGGCGGCTGAACATTTCGAAATTAAACGATGGTTTAGATGAAAAGAAATGCCTATTTATTTCAATATATGATTATTAGTATTTGCAAAAAACTAAATGAAACAACTGTATTTCGCACGTTCAGCTTAGTCAAGACATTATATTTGAACAATATAGAGATAAATAATGAATCGCTAATCAAGAGATTCAATAATTCCTAATACAGACAGATTTAATTGATATGTATCAAATGTTAAAAAACTTTTTCGTTTTAATCTTTGACGACAGAGACTGGAAGACGACTTACACAAAACATTAATTTTGATATATGTCCAAACTATTGTTTTAATTCTACAGCTTTTATTCTATAGTGATTTAGAGAAAACGAAAAGCAAATATGTTAGTTTGTTGTATGGATTTGTTGAGTTTCTATTTATCGATGAATTGCCAGTAAGAGATCTATCATACTTCCTGTGCCTCCTTCAGCACTATAAACGCTACTTCTTTCTCTATTGAGGATGAAGTAGCACATATTTATTCAAATTTTAACGTATCGAAGATCATTTTGTAATAAATTCATTCAATATCAAATGATCCATTCGCTCTTTTGTGCAACTGACGCAAAGAACAGCAGATAAATTATTGCTTTAATACATTCGGTAGATTTATTCGAGTAAAAAAGGTTTCATTGAAATTATAAAAATTGACTCTTGAGATTAAAAGATCACTTCTGATTTGATTGCCATGATTAAACTTCTTTTATTATGTGCATAAGTTTCGTGAGCTTCTTGGACAATAAAGTCGTATGACATGAAGAACACTAGCATTTTCATGTTCTTTGTTAAATCAGCAAAACAATTTATTTGTTCTTCCGTGGCATTCACTGTATTTGTTTTATTCTTGCTCATTTCTTATTGATTGCCTATGACTTTCCTAGTTTTCAGGCTATTCAAAGCACCATATATACTAGTTAATTACGTGCACTAGTTATTCATGAGAAAATAAAAGAAATAAAGTATGACAAAAAATTTTTGAAGACTCAATCAGGTACTTAAGATACTCATACAAAGATCTAAACTGGAAAAAGATATTCAAATTTATTTTCCTAAGAAGGCAATGGTTTAAAAGTCTAACTTTCAAATGTTCAAAACCCCAGCTCTCTTCATTTTTGAACTATTCAAAACATTAATTTCTGTTCATAAATCATTGTTCTTTGGCTTCTTTCATTCGTTTATCATAGGAATAATCCATGAAAGGTAGTCCTAAATAAAAGACGATGTGCAAATGATCTTTCGGTTGAAATGATTTCACTGAAGATTCAGCATGTTTTGCTTGATGTTGTTGATATTTTATCGATAAAAGACGCATCGCTTCGCCACATATAATTCCTACATGAGAGTCAATAGCACAAATTATATGCCACCAAGCATGCAATTGTGGATTAAAACCACCTTTACTATTCATTCGTTCACATAATTGTTGATCAATAATCCAACAGATCAAAGCTAGAACTAATAAACCAACATATATCACAATTAAATACTTGATAGAATTTGTATGATGTTGAGTTTGTCGATATAAAAAAACTAATTTCATAATTCCTCCTAATACCATCAATGTAAAATGTACTTGAAATATGATGACAAATGTTTGTAAACTATGCAGATACGTCCATAGAACAGCGTAAAGTATTCCAAATACAATAGCTAGGTCAAACGCATAGATTTTATCTTGTAATTTATTGAATCTATCCATTCTAAAGAGAATAAACCACCAGACAATCATTGAATAGACCATAGGAAGTTCATCGGCCATTTGACCTAAATGTGTAAGTGTACCATGGAAATAAGCAGAACCGAATCCGACTATACCAAAGGATAAACTAAGCAATAGAAAACGATTTTCAATTTTATTATATAAACCTTGAACGAATAATATTCCAGCTAATAAAGACATGAGCAAGCTTGAAATACAATTCCAGAATTCAGCAATATATTGTGTTATGACATAATTTCGTTCACACCAATCGATTGAACTAGTACTCGGTGACCAATAACCTGTATTCGTATCGAGTTTCGATTCAAAATGTTTTACATCCGATCGATGAGTTTGACTATTTGATACTGCTCGCGCTTCAATTATAACTGCACAAAATATTATACTTGATAATATGTGAAATATCAACGTTGATGGGAACATTTTGAACAAAATTTATTGTATGAAAGATCAAATTGTAACGTTATTTGCTGACAGAGTGCACCAACGAACTCTTGGACGTATTCTATTTGTTTTCCAATTTCGATTTTTTTTCGATTAAATATCTAGTTAAATAAAAATGACAATGACTATATTTAATTATGATTCTCGTTTGCAATTTCAGTCAGGGGCAGTACATATTCAGTGTGTTGAGTAAGAAGTACAAACGAATTTTAAAATTTTAATAGCTCCGGTGTTCATCATAAACTTTTGTTTTTTT